CCCCCCAACACACTTGCCTTTCACAAGTTTCTCTGCGGATTCGGGCTCCTCTCAGCGAGCACATCCAGCCCCATCTTCAAAAAAAAAGTAAAAAAATTCCTGAGACGTTTTTTGGCTCGTCTGGTTTTGCCGGACGGACCCCCCCCGGTCCGTCTGGCCCGGTCCATCAGGGCCGATCCGTCTGGACCGGCCGTCGGCCTAACCCAGAAATTTCATCAAAATCCTGCGTGACAGCCTGTTGTCTTTCCGGTTGCCAGGAGTGGTCTGACTGGAAAAAGTGCGACACCGTGTGGTACAGTGAATGCCACACTCCAAGAATGCCTGAAGAATGCCTCCCGAAGCTGAGGCCGACCAGCTATAAATAACGCTGGTCCGGCCTCAGGTAGTGACCTGAGTGGGAACTTTGGTGCCCAAACTTGGCGCCCAAATGAAAAAGAGCTTGGCGCCTAAACTGGCGCCCAGGGCCTGTGCCCTTTGGAAATGGCGCCCGGGGCCTGAAATGGTGCCCAGGGCCTGTGCCCCCTGCTGCTGGCCTAACTGGGCCTTTAACCGGGGGCCTGACGCTAACGAAACGATGCGCCAGGGCCTAGTGCTAATCTGGCCTAATCGGACCTACTAACCCTGCTAACCCCTACTCCTACGGACCGGGCCCTGGGAGGGGCCCGTGTGGAACAGAGAATGCCGCATTAGTAGATTAGTAGGTAAGCTGGAGAACAGGTCCAATGTCCCATGACTAAATTTAAGACAACAAGCTGGAAAAGGGGTTCAGTGTCCCTGTTATGGTGGAAGAAACCTTTCAGAGTAAGACGTGAAGTTGTGAACCTGCTGGAACAAATGATAGGCATATACTAGGGAGAGATTAACACCTCTGAAACCTCTCTGCCTGCCTGCCTGCTTGCCTGCCTACCTGCTTGCCTGTCTGCCTTCATGCCTGTCTGCCTGCCTGCCTGTCTGCCTGTCTGGCTGTCTGGCTGTCTGCTTGTCTGCTTGTCTGGCTGTCTGGCTGTCTTCGTGTGTGGGAGTTGTGCTTATGTGTGATGCTGAGTACAGTTGTTCAGAGAGCTTGATATTGAAGACCGCCTTCAGTGGAAGCAACACAGCTTGGTATTTGCCGTGCCTGACAAGCCTGGGGAGTTCTCGCGGTTTGATTTCCCAGATGTGCCAGCCCCTCTCAATGGGCTGGTGGCCATCCTTCGCAACAATGACATGCTTACTTTTGAAGAGAAAATGAAGTTTGGATTCGGCCTTTTGCCAGCTATCATTCAGGTGTGTTGTTTCAGGCTATGCTTATTTGCCTTTGTCAAGGAGATATGTCTCCATATGATTCGGGCCTCAAGTGTGTTCCCACCTTCCTTTTCTCATTGGCCAAGAGCTCTCCTACCAAGTGTTATATGCTATATGAATAATATTATATGGATGCATGTTTAAAAAAGTAGAACACTGAGATACAAAGAACATTCCAGATATGATGTAACTTACCCCATTTCGTATCTTTCTTGGAAACTGAAAGTTTGGAAAGGAATTAAGGACAGTGCTGAGAGGGTGTCACAACCTACAAAAGAATATCGATCTCATTAGGGAGGGGATAAAATCCTAAAAACAAAGCAACACTGGCACTGGTGGATTGAGCTTCCAGAAATGACCAAATTGAACCTCATGAAGTTATGCAGATGCCAGATAGTTAACTACCAATCTCAGAACCCAAATTGGGTACGACCCTTAATCTTCCCATTAGTAGAAGCAAACAACCCAGCAAGCCTCCTCAGTTAAACCACCAGTACTTCCTAAAGTCGTGCCGGTTAACAAGCCATGATTTTAGGAAACTTACGGGCACTACAGGAGCACCCAAATTCATCCGACTAGAAACGTTTCTACTTTATTTTTTTCCCCGGCCGATAGCTGGCCAAGTACTGGTGGTTTAAGAACCCAGAATGGGAACGGCCTTCCGGAGTTCACTTCTAAAACAAATCAGTGTTAGAAGGAAAAAACTACAGTGTATACTAACTGGATCAAGAAACACAACCAAGTAGAATTAGACCCTGCAAACTGGTCCTGGAAGAGTAGTACACGTATCTCAAGGCAGCATGGTTTACTGCCATATTAGGATACAAGCTGGCCTCCAAACCACAATGAATAGTAGATCTTCACCAAAAAGATGGGAGAAAGAAGAAGAAAACGCAATTCCTTTCCAACCAAACCACCCTGGTTGACAATATTGACAACGCGTCCAGCCAAGCTAACCAGCCTTCTAAGTATGCCAGTTCTAGTGTCTGCTGGTAACTCGGGTGTACTTCGTTGGATTTTTTTTCAAAATCTGATGACATTCGGGATTATTTATCTCTGGGTTGTGCTGTGGCATCTTCAATGACTCAACCCTGTCTACCTTTACCGCCTTTCCACTCTCTTCCTCTCTCCCCCCCCACTCTCCTTCCTCTCTCTCTCTCTCTCTCTCTCTCTCTCTCTCTCTCTCTCGCTCCTGTCTCTTATACACATCTAGATGTGTATAAGAGACAGGGGCAGGGCTGCTCCTCCATGTGATGCAGGGGATTTGCACAAGGAGAATGCTTTGGAGGCGGCGGGGGGTGAGGCGTCGGGGTCGAACACACGACTGTCCTCATTGCAGCAGTCAACAATAAGGAGGTGGGTGGACAACGANTCTCTCTCTCTCTCTCTCTCTCTCTCTCTCTCTCTCTCTCTCTCTCTCTCTCTCTCTCTCTCTCTCTCTCTCTCTCTCTCCCCCTCTTTCTCTCTTCTCATTCTCTTTCAGTTTTCTCTTTTCTTCTTTCTTCTTCTTTCTTCTTCTTTCTTCTTCTCCCCTTCTTCCAGGTTTCTCCACTTTCTTCCACTTTCCATGCTTGCTTATTACGTCTGCTATTGATACGCTCTCGCCACCATGTATCAACTTGAATATCTTCCACATCTCCTCCCTTTTGCTCGTCTCGCGCATTCTGCGCTCCTCTCGCCGCGGCGGGTCATCTTGTTTCACTAATTTATCTTTCTTTCTTTTTCTCTGCCTGTATGCCTGCCTGATTGTATGTCCTGCTCTTTGAATTATCAGTGTGCATCTTTGTGTGTTGATCCATCTTTGTATCCATCTTTGTCCCTTCGATGCCCTTCACACTGTCTGTGTGCCAAGCAGGACACCAGTGTGACGCTCAATATGGGCATGCACCGTATCTGGGTACCAAAATGTTTATGGCTGTCCTTGCAGTTGTTTCCTGAGGGTCGAGGGGAATTGCTGTTGTTGACCAAGAATTTTGCAGGTGGTCATGCTCTTTTCTTCTTCTTCTTTAAATAAAACCAAGCTATATTCTTCTGTCAATTATGCTTCATGGTACCTACCTACCTATATATCTTCGCACCAGCTTCCACCCATGCCTAAGCACTGAGGGGAAACCATACTCCACTAGGGTTGGGCCTATAACCCCAGGCGAGGGATGGAAGGGACGGAGGAATAGCCCCTACCAAGACCAACAAGGGGCCAAGCCGACTATCTCAACCGGGGAACCCGCAGCGCGCCGCAGGAGGCAGTGGGGATTCAGTGGAAGACGTGGGCAATCAAAACCACGACCTCCTGAATGCCGCTTTCGTGCTCCACCAACTGAGCTATCGTTCTATGATATGCAGCTTCAGTGTATTGTTGTCATCGACTGTCCTGTTCTGACTTGCAGGGGCAGGAGTACGTGGAGCAGCAGGATTGCTTGTCATTTTCAGAATGGTTAAGGCAGCAAGGTGTCCCAGAGAGAGTCAATGACGAAGTCTTCATTGCAATGGCCAAAGCGCTCAACTTCATTAATCCCGAAGAATTATCTGCAACTGTTATTTTGACGGCACTCAACAGATTTTTGCAGGTAATCGCTCAACTTCATTAATCCCGAAGAATTATCTGCAACTGTTATTTTTACGGCACTCAACAGAGTTTTGCAGGAAATCTCCCTTCTCTTTCCCCTGATTGTTTGTCCCCTTTTCTTCCATTTGTTTCTATGCTTTGCTGTATCTTCTCTGTCTCTCTCTCTCTCTCTCTCTCTCTGCAATTCCGACTGCATTTACTATTTCACTTCGTTCTGGCATTTGATCTGTTTGAACTTCTACACACATCTCAGTTCCTTTCTCCAGGATTTCTTTTTGCTATTCTTCTAATGGTGTCCTAGGGATTTATTAGGCTGTTTGCTTCCGATGCTGATCATCATCAGCAATATTTATCCATCAGTTCCAGTGGGAATAGATCCCTCAACTTCAGAAGAGGGATGTTAACGGCTACAAGGTGTACTATTCAACAAATCATCCCCATCTTCTGAGAATCCTGCGCACACTGTTTGTGCTTCATTGAGTGGTCATTGACAGTCAACCTTTCCATCTACACTTGACTTTCTCCCTTGCAACGCCATGAATGGACAGGAAGTGGAGAGAGAAGCGGCCTGGGCCCAATCGAAGGAGTTGATCGAGACAGAGGTCAGATAAACAAGTGCGGCAATGTCTGAAAACCTCAAAAGAAGAGAAACTGGACAAGTTCGACATGAACAATGTCCTCCACCTTCCAGTCAACGACTGACCAATGACTGTGGTGGATGATTATTCACCTCACAAATGGCATCTCCTGGATGGACGCTTTGGGTCAGCAGTCCCTCTGTCATAGCTTGATGGTACCAATGCTGACTGTTGCATTGATCATCGTTGGTTTTGGTGAGTCCCTTGTGACATCTAATCAAATCGGGACAACAAGGACAAGATTAGCATGGCCACTGTGCAAGGATGACACACAAATACAGAAATGCTCCAAATTTACGAACGGAAGAAGAGGGAACAAGGCAACGAAATAAGAACTGGTGGCATCTTCTTGGATAGCTTGATGGGAGCAAACCAACTGGCCTAGCTCAGTTCGTACACCCATGAACTGTTTAATCACAGACCTGAGTTCAAATTCCAGGGGATTCAGATGCGTGAAAAATAACTTGGAATTTACCAGGGCGAAGATGATATCTCAAGATTGCCAACTTAAAAAAACAACAATAATAATAATAATAATAATAATAATAATAATAATAATAATAAAATTTTGATGGGAGCAATCCTGATTGTTGCATTGATAGGCGTGAGTCTTGGTGAGTCCCCTGGGACATCTGTTCCTTTTTTTTTCTTGGGGGCGGGGGTTGGGGAGGCAGGGAGGACATCTGCTCCAATTGGGACAATACAGACATAATTAGCGCGGTTGCTGTGCAAGAATGACACACACAAACTGAGAAATGGCCCAAATTTATGAAAGAGAGAAAACAGGGAGAAGGACAAAAGCCTTCAAAAAGGTAATTGTTGGTGAGGTCTTCTTTGATTGTTTGATGGAGAAATGTGATGCTGACACAGTACGGACACGATTAGCATGGCTGCTGTGCAAGGATGACAGGCCCAAATCGAGAAATGGTAAAAATGTAAGTCTTGGTGACATCTTGGTGGTGGCCATGTTTGTTGTTACGTTGGTTGGTTTTGACTGGGCGGAAGAGCAGGAGCGCCATGGATCGAAAATGGCCTTCCTAGATGGACCACCCACAACGCGGCTTTGTGAACCAATGGTCGAATATGTGGAGAAGAATGGCGGGCAGGTAAGAAGTTGTCTGCCGGCACTTTCTGTATGCTGTTTATGTGTGAGAGTGGGCATCAAACGAATCCCCAAAGTAGGCCTAGAGCGCATGGTTTAAAATTGTGAGTGTGAATGTAATTATTGCTTTTTTCGGCTTGAAAGAAGAAAAATCCAGCCAATATAGACTGGGGAGATTCAAAGCTCACTTTTTTTATTAGCAAAAAAAGAACAGGGCGTTATGGTCCTGGCTTAAATCTAGTGAGGTGAGATGCAGTCTGGTCATTTTCCCACTAGCAACTGAGAGAAAATGACATGGCATTCTTCCTCGTTACTGCCAGGATCTGAGCCCGCCTGGGCTGTGTGATCGGGCCCTCCGTTTTCCACCTTGCGACAGGAGGCAGACATATCACTCACAAGAGACCGAACAACAGGGAGGCAGCGAGCAGCAGCAGCCACGTCGCACAGTTGTGCGACTGTAACTGTCAGTCCCAGGGCCAGCTGCTGGAAAGGCCCTGGACGTGCAGGGCCAGGACTTGTTGCTCGAGGGCATGCGACATGCCACTCACTTTCCATATAGGAAAGTGCTCGCAGCCAGGCCAGTCATTCTGCCTGGCGCTAGATGCAAGAGCCCTGCCACTCCAGAAGGCGGGCCAGGGCACTGGCTGGGGTGGACACGGTTGCTTGGGAGGAGCGCTGCCTGACTTAGCGCTGCACGGTGACCATTGCCAGGTCGTCCGTGCTGGATGCCAGTGGGGAGAGAGAGGGGTCTTCGGGCAAGGGAGACACTGACTGTGTGGAACAGGATGTGAGACAGAGAGAGAGGAAAGAGACACGTACCTGATGTGTATGCGGTGGTCTGCATGGGCGACTTCATCGTGTACATTGGTCTTTGGCCGAAGTGTTTTCTGGTTGCGGCTTCGTAGTGTAGGCTAGTGATACATGCCCAGTTGGGCAATGCATATGGAGCCAAGGATCCGCAGAGTGATGAAAAGGACTAGAATGGATAATGCAATGTCAGCAAAGCATCAACAAGCAATGTACATCCCGATGCATACAAAAATAGCACAATGTAGCGCAGCGGAAGACTCAAAGATATGTCCTGACCTGTCTGATACGGACGCGACATCACATCATACACCACACATATGAGAGAGGGAGGAGGGACCGCATACACAGAAGAAAGGTCCCTCCTTGCACATGCACATGGGGGAGATACCACGGATGACAAATGGGGGAAGAGGCGAGACGAAGATGGAGGCAAGGGAGAAGACCAAGATCGCAATACCGAAGTCCAAAAATAGTCCCTTGCCGAATGTCCAATCAATGTCTGCCACAAATGTCGGATCGGATCCTGGGCACAATGCCCGATGTAACCTCTGCCTGTAACCTCTCTCTCTCTCTCTCTCTCTGAAGAAGAAGAAGAAGAAGAAGAAGAAGAAGAAGGTAGGAGGGAGGAGAGATGGAGACGACGACGACGAAGAAGAAGATGTCGTCCTCCTCTCGGTCTCACCTGCAGGTAACTGTCGCCTGGGGACTGACCGTCGTCGTCGTCGTCATGTGCAGGTCGCCGGCGTGGAGCCCCGGCTATGGCGCCAGGTAGGTCCGCCGCTGCACGTATGGCCACCGCCTCCTCTACCTACCTACGCCCGTACCTCTACCTCAGTGTAGCACTGTAGTCCCAGCGCTGCTCCAGCAGCGTGTTGCCCAAGAAGTGAGCTACCCGAACTGTGTGTCCGCTCAGCCGTGGCCCAGCTATATGTAGCGCTGGGCCGGCTGGGTGTGCCTTTGTGTTGGCCTGAAAACGGCCCACACGGTCTGGGCCCCTGCCGGGCGTCCAGAACGTCCTGCTGATGCAGCAGGGTGCCAAAATGCATCTGGCTTCCAACGGCCCTGCCTCCTGGTGTACCCAGCCCAAGGCGTGGCCTTGGGGACTGCAAGTCCGAAAAGACGTCTGAACAGACAAAAATAGGACAGCGAATAAACAAATAAATAAATAAATGAATGCTGTCTTGTATCAGTACCTGCGGCCTAAGGGCCGCCGTGGGCCTCCAGAGCGCGTGTCTGAAAGGCACGCGGCCTGGGGCCCCCTCAGCAACCGTTGGGCCCTTGAAATGGGGCCCGTGTGCAGGCGCAGCATGTAACACCCCCTCCTCCTTAGGAAGTCAAGCCGGATCGAGGGCGAAGCTGACGATCCGATGGTGGAACCTGGACGTGAGTACGACGTGGAGCTGAAGGTACCGGCTTGCCTTATAGCTTGCGTTCGTAACGTGTGAGAACGTCGGGGGCTGTTGCCTGAAGTTCCGCACGGGTCAACCAACAGTCAGCCTTATGGCTGCAATAGGAAAAATGTACCAAGTACTCTGTCGGCCTTTTGTCGTAGAGTCGCTGGGAGATGATGTCGCCAACCTCTTGAAAACCGTCCATAGAGGGTGGGTCTTGCGATCGTCGCCCGGGAAAGTCGCCGTGTTACGTTGAAGTGAACAAAGCTAACTTAGAACAATGAAAGACCGGCTAGATGGGCCAGTGGGCGGGCACCTGAATGACAAATGAAGGTCCTTCGGGTGCATCCCCAGCGGGTGCCACAACGGGCCAGGGCCCCATCCATTTCGGAAGGAGCTTGCGAGAGATATCTTGTTCAAGGCTGAACTCCGCGGTGGAGAACCATACGAGGTCGCCGGCGCGGAATGGACAAGGACGACGTTGGCGATTGGCTTGTTAGCTCATACATTGTTGCGTCTTCAACATCTGGTCGCGTGCCTTGACAAGTAGCTCTTGCATCCGATGAATGAAGAGAAGGTGGTCGTCTCTCTCGGCCGCCCGTGGGATAATCGTGTCGAACGGAGAAGTGACCGGCGAGCCATGCTCGAACTCAAAGGGTGACATCCCGATAGACAGATGAATGGACGAGTTGTATGCCAACTCGACATCCCGCATTCGCTCAACCCAATCCTTTTGGTCGGGACGGATGAGAGTGCGAAGAAGAACCTGTGCTATCTGATGCGCCCTTTCTGTTTGGCCATCGGTTTGGGGGTGGAGAGGCGAACTCGGCTTGAGAAATGAGCCCCATCGTTTTATGAGAGCCAACCAAAAATCGGATATGAACCGAGTGTCGCAGTTGCAAACGATCTCCTTGGGGTAACCCTTGGTTCGAATCCAACCGGCGTAAAGAACCTCAGCCAACTCCGGTGCCTTGGCGTGATAGCGGCAAGGCAAAAACATGGCAAACTTGGTGAGTCGATCGACCACCCTTGGTTCGAATCCAACCGGCGTAAAGAACCTCGGCCAACTCTGGTGTGTTGGCGTGATAGCAGCAAGGCAAAAACATGGCACACTTGGTGAGTCGATCGACGACCGTGAGAATCCCATCCACAGCGGTCTTGTGCTTGGGGAACAACCCGGTGATGTCCATGGCAATTGCTTCCCTTCGTCGCAAGGGGACCGGTAATGGTTGCAACTCGTCGTACGGACGATGATTGCGGGATTTGCAACGTCGGCAAACCTCACATGACTCGCAGTAGCGTGTGACGTCACCAAGAAGGCCGGGCCACCAAAAGGGCTCGCGAAGTCGGCCAATCGTACGATGGACTCCAAAATGTCTGGTGGCAGGAGCGTCGTGGAACTCGCCAAGAAGCTGCGTGCGCAAGTGTGAATCACTTGGCACGCAAAGAAGATCCTTCCCCCGCAAATGTATGAGCAAATATCCCTCTTGGATCCAATAGTGCGATAGTGTTGGATTTGGAGAGGAACAATTCGCGTACTTTTCGCGAAACTTGGGGTCAGCTTGGTAGCCGCGGATGAAGCTGTCCTTCAGGTCGTCATCAATCTCGAACGTCGAGTAGACTGCGGATCAATGGTATGGACGCCATGAAAGAGCATCCGCAAAACGGTTTGACTTTCCTGGAATGTGATCGGGGAAGAAGTCAAATTGGTCGATGAAAGTCATCCAACGGGCGATGGTGCTATTGATCATGTCTTGGGTCTTGTAGAAGACCAATCGATTGTTATCCGTTACCCATCTGAATAGACTTCGACTGAGGAGAAAGTGTTGCCACCGCTTAAGCGCGTGTATGAAGGCTAGTAACTCCTTCTGTGTGCGTCAATCGAGTGCACGGCGGGCACTTTCTTGCTAAAGTACTCGACCGGGTGCCAATCTACGCCATCGTGTTGCTCGAGGACAACACCAATGCCATAGCCGCACACATCGGTAGTGACGCGCGTCAGCAAAAGCGGGTCGTAGATGTGCAAGACCTCCGCGGATAGCAAGGCGGCTTTGAGGGCCAAAAAGGAACCCCGCACATCGTCACCGAAGTCGAACGGTCGATTCTCGCATTGAAGTCGAACGACCGATCTTCGAATAACTTTTTATGAAGTGTTGGTAGAAGCCGGCAAGGCCAAGAAACGAATGGACATCCGTAATGTTCCACGGCTCCGGCCACTCTTGGGCGACTTGAATTTTTGTCCGATAACGGACTAATGCCCTCCGGTGTGACAAAATGGCCCAAGTACTCCAACTCTTGCCATATGAATTCGCACTTGTCGCGGTTGGCTTTGTACTTGGCGCGACAGAGCGTCTCCAACACGCGTCGACGATGCGCGAGATGGTCCTCCAAGGTCTGGCTATAGACGAGAATGTCGTCCAAGTAGACCAGCACAAACCGGTCCAACATCGTGCAGAACTCGTCGGTCATCGCCGCTTGAAAAGTCGTCGGGGCATTGGTGAGGCCAAAAGGCATGACAACCCACTCAAAATGCCCGTACAACGTTTTGAACACGGATTTGTAGCGATCTTGCGGGCGTATCGAAAGCTGATGATAGCCGACTTCAAATCCAACTTTGAAAAGTATTTTGCGCCGCCCAAACGCTCAAGAAGATCGTCGATATGAGGAAGAGGCCCCACATTCTTGACGGTTTGCGCGTTGAGCTTGCTGTAGTCGATGCACAAGCGTAGATCCTTATTCTTCTTCCGTACAAAGAGAACTAGCGCACCATATGGTGAGCTACTAGGGCGGATCCTACCCTTCT